CCTTCCCTTAACGCTGTGGGGAAAAGCTAGCTTGTCCCTTTCCCATAGAACAAAAATGATTTGCAGACAATCCACCCAAAGGGTTCTGCTTTGAGCCCAGTACATTTTTCAACAAAAGCTGCCTCAAAGCTGGTCATAAATTTATCTGTATCTGAACCTAGGTCCTCGCTATCTTCAAACTCTTACAACTCTGTGATTTCCCAAGACTTAGTTAAAAAATGCTTTTTATATTACTTCACCTTTGAATTTAAAAAACAAATTTCCGAGCTTAATTTTGATGTAAACATTGATTTTCCCCATGGGTTTCAGAAGGTTCTATGCAACGTGGGTTCTTAGGAATTCATTTTGCACACTAGAGGTGACTAGGTGGTGTGTGTCAGGCCCGATAGCTAGTTGACTTCACTGACAGTCAACACCTGTCACCTTGTTTTTTGTCTTTGGATGACTGTGCCACCTGACTCAGAAATGGGACAGTTGCCTAAAAACTTCTGGGAATAAGTTAAGGATTTAAATCAAGTTCAATCTGGGTGAATTCAGCCCAGATGTATTCAAATATACTATAGAATAAAATTTCTGCTCCTTTTACATGTTTGGAGATTCATTTCTGGAGCTATCATTTACTTACTTGCTCTCGATCTGTTAAAAAATGTATTCCTGGGTGTATTCTGCAGTATTTAGGGACAAAGTTTAATGATATCTGTAACTTTTAGGTGTTCAGGAGAAAATAGGTATAATATGTGTGTGTGTGTGTGTGTGTGTGTGCAGGTAGAATGAGGATGAGAATGAAGTAAATGCAGCAAAATGTTAACAATTGGTGAATCTAGGTGAAATATAGCCTGGAGGTAGTCGTACTATTATTTCAACTTTTCAGTCTTTCTGTAATTTTTAAAAATTGAATTAAAAGGTGGAGTTTTTTTCATTTATCTACTCTTAGGCTATATGTATTGCCTATGAACAGAAGCCGGGGGCCAGAAGAGAGATACTTGGGAATCAGAGGCAGGTAATCTGTTCCCTGGGCCGTAGTGCGTGCTGCTGAGGACGCTGTGCCCCACCTGTGCGCCACCTGGCCGGCTCAGGGCTGTGCCATCAGCTCTTCCTACCTTACTGCCTTCTTTTTCCTTCCTTCCTTCCTTCCTTACATACATACTTACATACTTCCTTCCTTCCTTCCTTCCATTCTTCACACATTTTTGTCATTTTCCTATGCCTGGCCCCGCTTGTCATCCTAGCCTTCTGTTTTCTTACATTAAGTGTTGTGAAACATGGTTATTTGACCAAAAAAAAAAAAAAACAAATAGGGATAGAATTCTAACTCACATACTTGGAATGAGCTGCCTTTGCAATTTGTTTCTTCCGGTAAGAGGGTCAACTCAGATTTCAACAGAAATGTCAAGCTATCTCTGATTTTAAAACACATTTAAAGAAAGTAGGGCAGGAGAATAGTGTTTTGCTGCAAACTTCTGCAAAACTAATTTTTTTTTCCTCTGGGCCTGCCAAAGACTTACTGTTTCCCACACTACGGCAATTTTGGCTCCAGCCTTTTTATGAGGTTTTGGTTATTGAAAACTGTCACTACTATGTGTTTGTGGTTTACTTGTCTGAAGCCACTTCCCGGAGAAGTCACAGCAAAGCAGCTGTTTTGCCCAAGTCAAGGGAGAGAAACCAAGACAATCCTCTTGGCTGGGGTAAGGGGTGGGGGGTGAACCAGGGGTGGCAATTACTTGGGAAGGACGTTTTAGGATTCAATTCCACTACCACAGGGTCCTTGTTGGAAAACTTCTTACTTTTCATCCAGCCAACCATGTGATTTGCAGGAGAGGGTTAACTTCAAACTCACTTGCATCCACTGTAAAAGGAAGAGATTGGACTAGATTCCTCTAAGACTCTTCAGCTCCGTAGCTCTGTGTGGCTTCAGCTAGTCACTGCCCCTGGCTGGACACGGCCAGGTTTTCTGGTGTCAAAGTCATTTTAAACCTGGTTATAAACCTTCACATAATTCAAGGCTCAGCCTGAACCCAGGAGAGTGTGAGCCTTAGTGTGTGTGTGGGGGTGCTTTCATCCGAGGAAAGGCTGCACGTCAACTCCTGCCGTGGAGTCAAAGTGACTTTTAGAGTCGACCGGTAGGAACTGTGGATGTGAAACTGTTGCATGTCAGAAAGAGGAGCCCGGGTTCCTTTGATAAACGCTGGAAAGGCAACATATCGGGGTTAGGTTTGGCTGTGCGTGACAAAAAGCCTGAACACATAAAAGAAGGTAGTCCAGGGTGGTGGCCGGCTTCACGAAGCCACCCAGGACTCACACTCCCTTCTCCCTGCCCCGCCACTTTTAGCTAGTGGTCTGCGTTTTGGGGTCCAAGGTGGTGGCCGTGATCCAGACCCATGTCCCCAGCGAGCATCAGGAGGGAAGAGTGGCAGAGACTTTTAAGGAGACTTCCCAGGAGGGTCACACAACACTTCCACTTACATTTCATCAGCCAACATTTTGTCACATGGCCACTCACTCTTAGTCTTGAGAAAGGATGGGAAATGTAGTGTTTGTGTGTGTGTGTGTGTGGGGGGGCATGTGCCCAGTTAAGTCAGGGTTTCTATTGTTGGTGAGGCAGAAGGGACAGATACCGGGAGAGAAAACCAGCAGCATCTGTCTCAGAAATTATATTTTTGAAGAGCAAGGGCTTTGGAATCCTGGGGTTAAATTTCAATGTCTACTTACTAGCTGTAAGATCTCGGCCAAGCCTTTTAACCCTTTTGAACTCTCCTAATACATCACCTGTAAAATCGGCGTGCTCCTCACATCATGGGGATAAAATGCAAGAAGGCATGTTCAAAACTTGGCACAGCAGCTGTTATTATTAAAAGAGTCCCTACACCAGCATCTTTGACTTCATTTACTTATTGTGATATGCGGTATTGGTTCAATATGGTGTATTTATTTCCCACTTCTTCCATGTCCTTGCTAGAGAGTTAGCAAGTCTGGCTCAGGCCAGGACAGTTGGGGACATGACAAGTTCATGCATGTCCAAAGAGGGAAAAGCAACCTGGTGGATGTTTATGTGACCTTCCGTGCCAGCAAACCTGAAACCTGACTGGTAAAGTTACAGGAAATATCTGTGCTTCAGAAACATGTGAGGAATAGGGCCATCCAGGAACAGAAAGAGCTCAGGGGAGACAGCTCCAGCCAGATACTCAGCTACCAGGAAGATCTCGGGTCTCCAGAAGGGGGAGCTCAGGCTGCAGCTCTGAGCCCTCAGACTCTCAGGCGTCTGACTCACTTCCTCAGTGCCTGCCCTGCCCTGGCCAGTCAAGAGCCATCTGAGTTCACTGGGAGTCATTCACAAGACCTGGTCCAGGAGCAGAGAACGACCCAAGCAATGGGTGGTTGGGATTTATTCCCCCCTGTAGTCTCTGAGCACTCCATCTCGGGTAGACTTCCAATTACATTAATAAATATTCCCCAGTATTTTCTGGGACTGGGCACTGTGCAGGCCACAAGGGCTGTGAGCAAGACCATGCCTTTGCCTTCAAGGTTGTCACCACCTGTGGGGAGTCAGACAAGAATCAGGTGTGGCAGAGGGCACAGCTGCTTCCCGCAACCCCCATGGCAAGCTTGGCCACCTGACTGCTGTGGCCCATGGAACGTGGGCAGACAGGAGCGAGCCAGTTCTCAGAGCCACCTGGTGAGCTTTTGTCAGCATCGTTTGCATTTCTGCCATCCCATGAGAAGATCGTCTAGCAGGAAGCCTACTGGTCTGAGGAAGATGAGAGACACACGCCGCAGACTTGACCCTACCTGTAGCTCAGAGCCGAGCCTAATTCAGCCTAGTTTAGATTAGCCAACCTCCACATGACCCACGGACTTGTGCACAAGAGTGAACGACTGTTGTTTTACACCATTTAGTTTTGGGTGGTTTGTTAAGTAGCATCATTGTGGTGATGGTTAGCTGTTCACAAGGGATAATTTCGATATGGGGTGAGAAGGATTGCAGGGAAGTACAGAGGGCATCTGATACCTCAGTCCTGTGGAGGCTGGGGGAGGAATGCTTCACAAACTTGTGTAAGTTATTCCCTGTGTGGACCTCATGTTGTTTTTCCCCCTGGAATGCTCTAGACCAGAGAGTCAGCAGGACATAGAATCTCTCAGCATATGTCAGAATTGTTTGTAAAATAAGGGTTACTCTGTCCTCAAACTTTTAAAACAGGGGGCCAGTTCACTGTCCCTCAGACCGTTGGAGAGTGCGCACTGTGGGCCCGGGACGAGTTGGCTGCTAAGCAGGACAGGCAGCGGTGCAAAAACGCCTGGAGAACTGGATAAATGTGCAAGGCATGTGGCCCGTGGGCTGTAGTTTGAGGACACTTGCTGTAGGGAATATAGGCTAAGCCCCCTGACAAGTGAAATATGAAGTCCTTTGGGCTTCTAGTGATTTGTTCATTCATTCATTGTTCATTCAACAAATAGGAATGGAGGCTAGAATTGTGAATAAAATAAAGCAGTGTTTTTACATACTTGGGGCTTATGTTATATATTATAGAGAGGGGAGACATGGTTGGGTGCTGAATGTCACAGAAAATGATAAGCAGGAAAAGAAACTTGGGGATAGTATTGGGATAGAAGGGTGGTGCGGTTTTACACGGGGAGGTGAGAGTGAACGGTGAGCACAGACCGGAAGGAGGAGAGGGCACACGCGGTGGCCATAGCTGAGGAAAGAGCGTCTCGGGCAGAAGGCAGGGTTGTGAATGCATGCTTCTGGAGAGACAGAGACTTGGGCTATCCCAAGAGCATCTGTAGGTGCTCCAGGGATTTGACTTTAGATGTGTTCAGTGAATCTACAGCTTCAGAGAAGCAAATCCAAAAAAGTTGAGTTTTCTTGTCGAAAACAGAAAACCTAGGCAAAAAGGTTTCCATCATCCCAGGAAGCCCCCGGACCTTGCCCCTGGGACCATCTTCTAGGGATTCTCTCTTTGGGGGCTCATGACCCCTGGTGACTCCTCTGTCCTCTCTCCTAGGCTACATGGTGTTGGACCTCAGATCTCCACTTCCTGTGTCCTCCGGAAGTTGTCGGGAATGATGTTCGGCTTGTACATGTTGATGGTGGGCACTTCCGCCTTCACCATTCGGCCGGAGGTGCACACGGGTAAGAAGTAAATCCTGCAGCTTCTCCGGGGAAAGCTGTTATCGAGTGAGGTTTTGTTGCAAGCAGCAAGCAAGGTGTGAATGTTCATGCCTTGGCAGATGCGGCTTCTTGTCCATCCTCTTTGCTGCACCCTGGGCGGCGGGCATTCCTGCCAAGGAGCAAACCAGAGAAGTGGCATGTTTGCCCCTGACAGAAGGCGCCTCTGGATTTTAACCACATGACCTACCGAATAAGCCTGTCTGTCTGAACTCTGCCCAGATCTACTGTTAAGGTCAGGAGGTCAACAAGTAAAAAATATGGCTAAGTTTTTAAATCTTATTTTTTTTTTTTTTATTTTTTGGTCACCAGGTGAACCCGATTTAACTTTCCCCACGAAATGTAAGTTGGAATGTATAGTATCCCTGAACTTTTTATTTGGGAGTTTTGAAATTACAATGACAAGGGTGGGGGGTTAGTGGGGTCCCCAGGGTGCAGGTCGTTTTGTTGGGGACACATGACATCTTCCTCAGATGTGCTCTATGTCTTCCTGCCAGAACCGTCCTCAGTCTGGGGTCCAGGCAGGTTCTGTGATCGGGGCAGGTTTTGGACCCAAAGCCTGACGTTGCTGTCTCTGTCTTTCAGCGGCTGCGGGAAACTGCCAATATCGTGGCAGGCATTACAAACGGGAATTAAGGCTGGAAGGGGAGCCTGTGGCCCTGAGGTGCCCGCAGATGCTGTATTGGTTGAGGCCCTCTGCCCGCCCCCACGTCAACCTGACGTGGCGTAAAAATGACTCTGCTGGGACGATACCAGGAGAAGAAGAGACTCGAATGTGGGCCCATGATGATGTCCTTTGGTTCCTGCCAGCCTCGCAGGCGGACTCTGGCACCTACATCTGCACGACCAGGTAAGCCCCTCTGCAACCGGGCTGGGGAGGGGGCTCCCTGCAGAATGGACACTTGTGGGGTTCTTCAGTGAGATCTGGATTTCAAAATCCAGTGGGCAGGTGAGAATCCACATTATGTCCTCTTGAGAAACCCCCAGCCGGATGTTCTCATGGCTCCTCCCTCCCTTCATTTAGTCTTTGTTCAAATGCCACCTCTTTGGAGAGGAGGTCCCTAGCCACTTTAGCTGACACAGCACTCGGCCATTCTCTCTCCTTACCCTGCTGTTGCTGTACTCGATAGTATTTTCCCATCTGACACATCTGTGTGTGTGTGTGTGTGCATGTGTGTGTGTGTGTGTGCTTAATGTTGGTCTTCCCAGTAGAACGTAAGCTCTAGGAGGATAGGGCTTGATCTATTGTGCTCACTGCTAAATCCACATGGTAGGGACACAAGAAATAGATATAGAACCCTGAACAGAATTTTAGAGATGGATGAGAATTTAGGAGTAAATTAACCTAACTGCTGATTGTATGGATGAGGGAACCAAGCTGCCTAGAAACTTCCCCAGGTCGTGGGTGGTGGAGCTGAAACTGGAACCCAAGTCTCCCAACCGGGGGTCCAGTCTTCCCACCTCTCTGTCCTATTGCTCTTTTCCCCATTTAATTGTAGTCAAATATGCGTAACATAAAATTTACCATCATAATCATTTTTAAGTGTACGGATCAGTGGCTTTAAGTACATTCACACTGTTGTGCAACCATCACCACTATCCATCTTCAAGGCGTTTTGATCTTCCCAAACTTAAACGGTGCACCCATTGAATAAATAACTCCCCATCTCCTTCCCCCAGCCCCTGGCAAACCATTCTACTTTCTGTTGCTATGCATGTGACTCTTTAGGTACCTCATACAAGTGAAGTCATACAGTTTTTGTCTTTTTGTGACTGGCTTATTTCACTTGGCATAATATTTTCAAGGTTCACCCATATTGTAGCATGTATCAGAATGTCCTTCCTTTTCAAAGCTGAATATTATTATTAATTTCAAAGCTGAATTATTCCACTTCATGTACATACCACTTTTTGTTTATCTATTTATCTAGCCATAGACACTTGGGTTATTGTCTCTTTTGGGCTATTGTGAATAATGCTGATATGAACAGATATGTACAAAGACCTGTTTGAGTTCCTACCTTCAATTCTTTTGAGTACAATATACCCAAAAGAGGAATTAATGGATCACATGGTAATTCTATATTTAATTTTTTGAGGAACTGCCATGCTATTTTCCATCGTGACTGTACTATTTCATGTTCTCACCAACAGTGTACAAAGGTTCAATTTCTCTACATCCTCACCAACACTTGCTATTTCCTGTGTGTGTGGGTTTTTTTTTTGATAATAGGCATGCTAATGGATTTGAAGTGGTATCTCATTATGGTTTTGATTTGCATTTTCCTAATGATTAGTGATATTGAGCATCTTTTCTTATGCTTATTGGACATTTGTGTAACTTCTTTGGAGAAATGTCTATTTAAGTCCTTTGTTCATTTAAAAAATTGGATTTTCTTTTTTGTTGTCAAGATTTAGGAGTTCTTTATATATGCTGGATATTAACTTCTTACCAGATATATGATTTGTAAATATTTTTGCACATTCAGTGAGTTGCATATTCACTCTGTTGATAGTGTCCTTTGATGCACAAAAGCTTTTAATTTTGATCAATTCCAATTTATCTATTTTTTCCTTTATTGCTTGTGCTTCTGGTGTTAGGAAATCAATGCCCAATCCAATATCATAAAGAATTTTCCCTATGTTTTCTTTTAAGAGTTTTATAGTTTTAGCTGTTACATTGATCCGTTATGAATTAATTTTTATAGATGGTGTTAGGTAAGGCTTCATTCTTTTGCATGTGGATATCCAGTTCTCCCAACACCATTCATGGAAGAGACTTCCCTTTCCCCACTTAATGGTCTTGGCATGTCCTGCTGCTTTCTGAAGGACAAGTTTTCAGCCTAGTGCTAGGAAGCGTCAAAGTTTCCTGGTTTAGTTCTTCTGAAAGGGTGAGGGCAGCCTCTGGCCTGATTGGAAAATAGTATTTCTGGTGTATTTCAGCTGCTGCCTCAATCTTTTCCAAGGCTCTGCGTGCTCCCTCTACCAGCTGGCTTGATAGGCCTTTCACATTTCATAAACTTAACTGGATTTAAGGAGGAATTGTACTCAGGAATATTTACATTTAGAAGGAGAACCAGAGAAAGTGATATTCTTAGCACAAAGGAATTGCTGGTGGATGGAAGAATTTGACCACATCAGCCCCAGTCCTAGATGGTATGCATGCATGTGCGTGAGAGAGAGAGAGAAAGAGAGAGAGAGAGAGAGAGAGAGAGAGAGAGAGAGAGAGAGAGAGAGAGATGGGGTGAGGGTTCTCTGCGTGTGTGTGTGATGTTGAGAATCTTTTTAAACCAAACCTAGCTTGACACTACTGTCCCTGTGCCTAGCCTCTTCTATAGGCAATTTTAGGATAGATTCAATCTTTTCTATGAACCAATAATCTTCTATTCTTATATTGGAAAAATATGGATGTCTGGGTTTCATAATAGCCATAAATGCATGATTCTTCTTCTTCTTTTTTTTTTTTTAGGATACAAATTCTTTTCCAGGATAACTTAATAGTATAGTAAAGAAAAATTAAATTTGGTGTCAGACAGATATAGATGGGAATCTTGGCATTCTCACTTTCTATCTGGTGGGAACTTGGTCTTATTTATTGACTTTTATAAGTCACAATTTTATTCCCTGTAAGGAATTTTGTTGGAAGGGTTTTGTGGGACCACAGCATGAGAAGGATCTAGCATGGAGAGTGCCATGGAAGTCGGTTAATAAACACATGGAAACACTCTCTCCTTCCCAAAAGGCAGTTTGCAAGACTACTAAAGTGATGCTGTGCAAAATCAGGGAGATGTGAGCTGAGTCATGTTTGTCTTACAGTGTATTTTTATACTGAATTAAAAAATTATACCTAATGCCTTTATTTATTTTTATAGGAAAAAAAAAAGAGACCTGAGATTGAGGGGGCAATGCAAATCCCAATGTGTGTCAAGCTTTCTTTGCATGTGGCTGGGTTTATCTGGCTTATCTCTGAAACTCTCTTTCAGCTATAAGGTTGAGGTTCTAGTAGAATGACAGTCACCAGCAGTTGACATAATACTCTTTGAGATTTAGAGTCATAGGGCATGGGACTGCCTTTTTTCCGTGATTTTTTATGATCTCATGACCTAGAATCCACATTGTCTTTCTGCCAGAGTAGGCAAGGTTATGCCACTATAACAGACAGCTTCCAAATCCCAGTGGCTGGCTTAAAATAACAAAGGCTTATTTCTCACACATTCAACAAGTCCAGTGTGGGTTGGCAGATCCTTAGGAACAGTCGCTATTTCAAATGTTATTGGTTGCTGTACTAGAAGGAAACATGCTTTGGAGTGTCTTTCATGGCTACTATAACTTTGATATAGAAGTAGCACATATACAACTCATTGAGTGGAATCATAACTGCACCCACCCACAGGGAGGCCAGGGCATGCGATGCACCATGTGCTTGGAATAGGGGGAAATGGGCACATTTGGTGTCCAGCACTAATGGTTACCATCCCTCTGCCAGGGTGATGCCACACTGCATGGGGAGTGTGAGTACTGATCAAATTGCCCCTCACCCCTCTCTTTCTTTTGAGTTACTTTCAGGGAGTGTTTTGCTCGAGGGGAATTACCAGATCAATAAGGTGAACAGGTTTGTAACTCTCGATATGTCTAGTCAGCTTGGTTTCTGGAGATAGTGCCCTAATTTATGGGTTTTCCCTGCTTCACACCTTGGTTTGACCTCTTAGTGTCTATCCAGCCTACTTAATTTCTGTGCAGTTAATTTTTCTCATCTGAAAATGACATAATAAGAATTCCTACCTCATAGGGCTGGGGAATCAATGAAACTCTGTATGTAAAGCCCTTGGCACAGGCCTGGCATGAAGCTACTCTCTGGTAATAGCTACCATGGTGACTGTTTTTCAAGTGTGCACTGTTTTTTTATCTCAGGCTCATTGGCCTTTATTCAACTTGCCGTGAGATCGTGCACTTTTCAAAGTGAGAGCTAACTTTCTGCGGTTCTTTATGCATAAAATGTTCGTCTACTTTTCCTTTTTTAAACCAGATCATGTATTTTAATTAATTCTTTTTACTTTCAGGTAGAAAGCTTTTATCACATTTCTTCCACATATATTTTTCACATTTTGTGGTTTCTTTGGGTATAGATTGTTATACATTTTGCTGTGTAATTTTTACCCCTTGATGTCAAACACATTCTCATTATCTCTGTTGAAGTCTTTTGTGTCTTAGGTAACCAGGAAATTAGCTGAAATAATTTGTATTTTTATGTTTTTCTACTTTAAAAAGGAGTTTTAATTACTGTCTTCTGTCCCCCCATGTTTCCAACAAGGTTTTGCCTCTGCCCTTTTCCCAGTTCTAGTGTCTCAATAGAATTATGGTATTCAAATTATGATTAAGCCAACAAAAATAATAATGATAACAAAAACAAACAAACTTACCAAGTTAACTTCCCCATGTAGTATTGCAACAATATTTTATAGTTCTTACACTAAGTTTCCAGCAGTGTTCTGAAATTAGACTTCAGTTGATAGATCATTCCCAAGAGAAGTAAAGGAAATTTTCTTTTTATGGAAACAGTGGTTCTTGGGAAACAATCTCTCCATTTGGATATGGTTCCTTGGACCGTGAAATTGGAGCATGTTGGGTTGTGTTCAAGAAGCCCCAGAACTGGAGGGTTTAAACCCTTTTGAAGAAGACGTGGGAATTTCTTAGTGGCCCTTGATGACCTTGGAATGGGGCTTGTGGCAGGACTTTTATGAAAAACGCAGGACATATCACTGCTTCTTTGCAACAATTAGGCTGTGATGCTCTTTGTCTCTCAAGAATTTGAAAGGTTCAGGGACAGAAGTACTGTAATACAGATGCTCCTTGACTTATGGTGGCGTTATGTCCTGATCCATCTTAAGTTGAAAATATCGTTAGGTTGGAAATGCATTTAATACACCTAAATTACCAAGCATAGTAGCTTAGCCTAGCCTACCTTAAATGGTCTCAGGACACTTAAATTAGTCTATATTTGGGCAAAATCATCTAACTCAAAGCCTATTTTATAATAACGTGTTGAATATCTCACGTAATGTATTGAATACTATACTGAAATGTGTTTTCTACTGAATGCGTATTGCTTTTGTACCATTGTGAAGTCAAAAGATTCTAAACTTTACCATTGTAAGTTGGGAACCATCTGCACCAATCAAGAAAATGCAGATACAGAATTTAATGGGGTTGGGGAAATTACTCTTAATTTCATTTCATTTTACTTTTATTTTGCTTTGCCATTTATTATCCTTTTTTTCCCCCCTTTTAAATCAGAAATGCCTCTCACTGTGACGAAATGTCCATTGAGCTCAGGGTTTTTGAGAATGCAGAAGCTTCCATGCCGTTGATCTCATACCCGCAATATCTAACCTTGTCAACCTCTGGGATGTTAGTGTGCCCTGACCTGAGTGAATTCACCCGTAACAAAACTGACCTGAAGATTCAATGGTACAAGGTATATCTTTAAAAAATGCCATTTCATTAAAATGTATTTTACTAGCCATAGGAAAGATATACAATACGCATTTTCTGAAGACAATACATTCACACACACACACAGGTACACACAAATTGTGTGCTCTTTGATTCTGTGTATTCTGCCTCTGAGGATCCAACCAACCTTGGCTTCAACCAATCTCAGATCAAAAATATTGAAAAACAAAGAAACAAAATAACAATATAATATTAAAAATAACACAAATAAAGAAATACAGTGTAATAACTATAGTCATGTACAGCATGATGACATTTCAGTCAACAATGGAACATGTATACGACAGTGGTTTCATAAGATTATAACAAAGCTTGAAAATTCCTACTGTCTAGTGACATCGTAGCTGTGGGTAATGTAGTGTGATGCATCACCTTTTCTATGTTTAGATACACAGATACTTGCCATTGTGTTCTAATTGCCTGCAATATTCAGTAACACGTGGTGCAGGTTTGTAGCATAGGAGCAATACCTACATCTCTACATAGCCTAGGTGTGTAGTAGGCTGTACCACCTAGGATTGTGTAAGTACACTCTGATGTTGGCCCGATGATGAAATTGCGTAAGGATGAATATCTCAGAATGTATCCCTGTTGTTAAGTGACGAATGGCTGTACTTACATAGCATTTACATTGTAGTAGGTAATATAAGTAGTCTAGAGATGATTCAAAGATTATATGGGAAGATGTGCGTGTAGGTTATATGCAAGTACTATGCCATTTTATATCAGAGACTTGAACATCTGTGAATTTTGGTACATGTTGTGGGAATAGTCCTGGAACCAATCCCCCAAAGTTACTGAGGGATGATTATATTTTAAACAATTTTAAAGGACCATGATCAATATGTTCTGTTATTCCTTATGTGGCTTGGGTAAAGGTCCTTGAAATAGTGATTTGTGAAGACAGAATATAAAATGAATCCAGACTAAAAAACAACTGAAGAGAATAGCTTTTTATTTTATCATTTGTCTCTAAAAATTCAGAAAAAAATTGTTACTTTATATATCAATTTTATGCACATATTAAAGGAGGTTTTTTTTTTTAAAAGCACATGACAATTAACCTTTGGGCTAAAGAAGTAAATGTAAACACACCCTTGTCTGGCTGAGTAAATACTATTGGATGTTTTAGTAGTTCATAGTGAGAACATCAAATATTAAGCTTAAGTAGACCAGGTGTTGGCAAACTATGGTCTGGGGCCAGACCAAGTTGCCTCCTATCTTTGTATAGTTCACAAGCTAAGTATCATTTTTTGCTTTTTTTTAAAAATATTTGAAAACAATTAAAGGAATATTTCAGGATGTGAAATTCACACAAAATTCAAATTTCAGAGTCATTAAATAAAGTTTTACAGGAACACAGTTATCACGCTCATTTGTTTATGTATCATCTGTCTGCTTTTGCACTGCGTAGTTGTGACAGAAACCACACAGACTATAAGGCCTAAAGCATTTCCTATCTGGCCTTTTCCTGAAAAAGTTTGCCAACTGCTGATATAGACTATAGATTGATACTGAAAAGTACAGTTATTGGTTTAATCATCGATAGGAATTAACTCTTTAATCAATAACAGGTTGACCAGTTGACTGGTATTGTAACTATGAGATAGATATGATATCAATTTAATATTGGAAACTTTAAGATGATTTTCTGAAAGTAGAGGAAGGCAGCCAGCTCCTATGAATAAGCTGGCCTGGGCATAGAATACATCTTTTGGTTTAGGAAGAGTACAAAGAGGACAAACGAAAGGTTTCACTTATGGAGGAAAGAGCCCAGGCTCTGGCATCAGTGGGTCTGGGTTTGAAACCCTGTCCCTTCACTTACCTGTTGTGTAGCCTTGGCGGAGTGACTTTACCTCTCAAACCTGCTTCCTCTGTGAAATGGCAATTAGTCATTCCCACTGCCTGGGATTGTTTTGAAGACTAAACAGAATGACACATATGAAGCACCTCGTTCAGTGCTTGACATATAAATGGTGCTCAGTAAATGTGGGTGGACAAGGATCATGGTGGTGCTTAATAATATTTGTCCACTTCATAATAATGCTAAGCATCACCGAGCACGTACTGTGTCCCAGCCTGTTCTAAACTCCCTAATATGCAACCCAAGGATGTAAGTGTCAACACACCCATCTGACAGATAAGGGAACAGAAGGAACATTCCCAAGGTGACACAGCTGGCAGGTGGCAAAGCCAAACCTCTAAGCCTGGAGGCCAGGCCCCAACACCATGGGGACAGCTGCGGTGCGGAGTCCTCATGGATTTTTCATATCTGACTACTCATGCTTAGAACTATGAAATCTCTCCTTTTAATTAAATACATTGTAAAGTAATACTTCATGAGCCATGTGGCTATTTCAATTTTATCTGTGTTCCCACTCAGATTAAGAGTCTGAAATGACTCAAGGTTATATTTGACTATTGCAAGCTTTCGATGACCATGATTTTGAAAGAGATCTTCCTGAGAACATTGTGTGCTCATTGGCATGTTTTCTCAAATCCCATTCGGCTCTTCCTATTAATTTAAAGCTTTGATAGTGAGGATTCCATTCTGCAGAGAACCCGTAGAACCTTGTGTCCACATACAAAGTGTAGATTCATTTCCCCCATTTAGTTTTCTCTCAGAAAATTTTCTGTATCATACTGACCCATAAGATTGAAATGATTTTTAAAGTAATCACTGCAATGTCATCTCTTCTGAACATTGTTGTCGAAGTCATCATGGCTATTTAATAGTGCTCTTCCCACATATTTCCTAAGGCCTATGGGTATCAGCCAAGTCATAAATATATTTGTATTTTAAATGGCCTACTTTGTGGAAGAAGAGTTAGTCTCTTTTTTCCCAGTTGTGCTTAAACAAATATGCTTCAAATATGGTGGTTAAACAAATCTAGTAATTTTATTTGTTTTACATGTTAACAAATTCCCTTTCTTAAAAATACAGTTAAAAGTATGCCCAAAGAACAAATTTGGCAAAATAAATACCAGGACAATTCTTGGGCTGCAAATTCAACATTGGTTGATAACGATGATGTGATTTATATAGCCTTTGAGGTATCTATTATTATGTAACATAGCCTTAAAAAATATTCCCTTAAGGATTCTGTCCTCTTGGATCAAGACAATGAGAAATTTGCAAGAGTGAGGGGAACCACTCGCTTGGTCGTGCATGATGTGTCCACGGAGGATGCGGGCTATTACCGCTGCTCCATGGCGTTTACGCATGGAGGCCAGCAATACGACATCAGCAGGAGTGTCGAGCTATGCGTCAGGGGTAAGTGCTTGCCATCCAGGTATTTTTCCATCCTAGTTGAATAACAAGCATGCAAAGAACAAATTTAGGTCCACATAGCATTCCTTGAAGGTCTTTTAAAGAAGGGTAAAGGGAAACAGATACGTCAACTTTCCTAAAGCATCATCCTAATAAGACATTCGTGTGACACTTTGAGAGGTATAAATTAGGGTATTGTTATTAGGAAACATGAATGAATTGGGCAGTTGGTAGGGCTCCAAGACCGAAGCTAAAACATACCACTAGAGAGGGCCAAACAGTGGTTTCCTTGGAAGTTCCCTTTATAAAGTTTACTGTGGGAGGTTTGGATTTATGGGGCCTGGCGATCACAACATGGTTTTTGTAACTTTATGTGTAATTCTAGGATACTAGGATTTTATTGGATTTTTCAACCAGAGGGCTATGCATGGGTGAACCCAGTGGAAAGCATCCTTTTTCTTTCTTTCTTTCTTTCTTTCTTTCTTTCTTTTTTTTTTTTTCCTGGTCATTCCTAAGGTGTGTCTAGTTACCAGAATTTCAAGTAGAGTTCTCATTGATTAAAATGAATTATACTTGAAAATAATGTTGTGAACATGGTGGCCAATATGTCACATTTGTTCAGTGTTTACACCACTCCTCCTGCATGCCGGACACGGAGCTAGGTGCAAGGGGTGTGAAAGTGTGTATGTCCTGGTCTCTGCCTTGAAGAGTGTGCCACAACTTTTAACTTTATATACTGAATACCTAATGCAACTGGAGTCTTTTAAGGGGGGTTTCAGAAAGCTTTGGGAACATATTAAGGGCATATAATTGGTCTGTGAGGGGAAACAACATTTTTTCTCACAGAGAATTCAGACATTCAGTTTTACCATGTTTCTCCATGAACCAAAGTGTCTGGAATATATTTCTTTTATAGTCCCGTGAGGATTGATTCATATCGACTCCTTGTTCCCGGACAGGGTGGTTGCCTGAGCCATCCTGTGCCTTTTGACGGGCATTATCCTGTCGTGCGACACTGCACAGGACACTAGGGGGCAGCCATCCTACATATCATCCTCGATGTCATGCTCCCGCGTCTCCCTGGCTCTTAAAGGGTGGTCCTGGACCAGCAGCAGCTGTGTCATTTCCAAGCCCATGTAGACCTAATTGGGCACGGGGGCAGGGGCTACGATCTAGGTCTCACAAGCCCCCCTTAATGACGCTGGTGCACCCTCAAGTTTGAGAAGCACTGAGGTTCCAGGCCAGGAGGCGTCTCTCTCTAGAATGCCCCAGCTCCACAGGGCAGCGATGTGACTCTGAGGATGGAGAAGGCTTCTGGCCACTGTCGGGAAGCCACTGCTCCTCGGGCTGCACTGCTGTCGGCCTCACACTTGTGCTTGGTAGGATTTCAAGATGCTTTTTAGCGGAAGAAGTGAGGATGATGAGGATAGTTGCCCAATTTGGACAATATGTTCCCAAAGCTCTCTGAAATCACCTTAAAAGACTCCAGTTGTGTTAGGTATTCAGTATATAAAATAGCCCTGCACGCACCCCAGGCATCCTTTTTTTGCTCACTTCAGTTGCCCAGTTTTTTCAAACTGGTTCTAATCCCTGGAAGACCTCCCTCTACCTCCTGAAGAGTTTCTCTCTTCAATTAACAAGGCAGTAGTGGCCAAGACTGGGTTACTATGTTTATCACCCATCGTGAGATTAGCCTTACAAATGAGTGGAGCTTGAGTCCCTGTGCCTTTTCTTAAAGAATTGAATCTTCAGGGTCTTGGGGCAGGACTTGGGAAGGGTGGAGGAGATATTAGACCTTCCGGTAAAGCCTATCCTATGGGCAAAACATGACTATTAAGATTCTGTTCGGGAAGACTGGGAGGGGAATGGTTAATTGTTTATCACAGAGCAAAGAAGCAGAGGCCCGTTCTATCAGCGGAATGTGCATTTAACTGTGGCCTCTTTCCAGTAATCTCTCTGCTGGGAAAGGTTGGGCAAAGATGCTCAATTTTGTGGAGAGCCTGTTTCCTTTGCCAGACAAAGGCTGATTCTCACAATGACTGGCCCTGCTGAAAAGGATAATTTAGCTAATTAGCCAAACAATGGACCTTGAACCTCAGCTGTAAATGAGAGCTTTCCTAATGCAATCTCTTTTCCTTGCATCTTTCCCAGAAAGAAAAGAGGAGACCATTCCTGTGATCATTTCTCCTCTCCAGACCATCTCAGCTTCTCTGGGTAAGGCCTGGAAACACTATGCAACCCAGACGCCTGCGGGGGTGCCTGATATCCCGACACTGGGGGCTTGGGACTCTTGCCTGCCAACCATACCTGGCCCTGGGGGTGCAGTGTGCCTGGGTGGAGGCCTTAGAATCCCAGTGTGTGAGGCTGCAAGAACAAACACGAGGGGACATGTCCCTTTGTCCAGTGTTGTTAGAAATGGCATTGTTTGAAAACAGGTATACTTTGCTTTGTAAAAACCCTACCTACCAAAATCTAAATGTGAAAATCTAAACATGGTGGTAGTAGTTATTAACTGTACGAGAGAATTAACAACAGCAGGAATCCCTTCCATAGCCAGCACCTTTCGTATATTTAAGATAATTCACTTGTCTGAATCTCAGCATCTCTCTAAGGCTCCGTTTGTGAAGTGGGGCTGGCAGTAGTTGGAGGTGGTTTCTTGTTGCCAGAATAGCTGGTCAGCCAGTTGAATGGTGTGGTGCAGATGACCACGGGGTTCTCCGCTTTTCACCCCATGTGGTGCAGTCCATCCCAGCCAGCACACACCCGCTGGAGGGTCCACACGGTAGCCAGTGGGGGCATGTATGGGGGCTGTGTTAATAGCCTTTTGATGCTAGCTCTGTATGTATGTGTGGTGGGAGGATTGACATTTATTGAGCATCTACTTTGTCCAATTCAACTCCAACATCGACCCTGCAGGAAGGTTTTATTTCTCCCATTATCCAGAAGGAAAAGCCACCTAGGGGAGTCATGGTGGCTCCACAAAGTCTAAAAAGCCACCCTCTGGGGTTCAGATTCCAGTCTGTGTGCCAGTGAAGCCTGCACTCTTTTGTGTGTTTGTTTCTATAAAATGGTTTTGAAGATCTGATGCTCATGTATAAAATCCTGGCTGCAGAGTCTTTTTTATTAATAATAAAAAAATTATTTGCTTTTTACTTCTGTTTGGTGTTGGGATTAAAGTTTAAATTTTAGTTGGAGGCCATAGAGGAGGTGGGCTTTTGTGCAGATGCTGGGACTGCTGGCTGGCACGTGAGTTGCAGCCCACGTGGCCACCTTGGCTCTAGGAACAGCTGCCTGGAAACCCCGGGCAATGGGGACACCGGCTGTGCTGGTGCTGCCTAGGGTCCCAGGGCCCTGGTCCTCGGTGCTTCCCAACTGAGTGGAAACCAGTCCCTAGTCAGTTGCCCTGAATGCACTAAGTGGGTGGTGGCTTCACGTGACACTGATTTTATGGGCTCAGCTACAGCTGATGGGGACTCTTCGAAGTCATAAGGGGTGGCATAGGATGGGGAAAAGCTGGCATTCTAAGCCCTAGTGGGGCCAGCGACCTTAAAAGACATTCCCACAAGGAGGCATGTCACCCATGAGTAAGAAATGAGTGGGAAGAATTTTTTTCTACTTTTCCCTCTCTTCCTCTTTGGTGACTTAAAAAGAAAAATAACTTCCCAAGACTGAGGCGAGGGGATCTAGTACCATTACCTCACACAACGGCAGAGCCATCTGCAGGAAACACAGGGCTTCTTACAGGGTTAATCCTCAATGAGCGCTGTCCGGGAGCGAGGCGTTCCCAGGGTAAATGTCAGAGCTGAGACCAGCAATGGGCAAAGAGAAAGAATCTGCATATTGCTCTGGATTTTTTTGAGGTGACTAAAGTTGTGGAGGAAGCAGCCCTTGAATTCAGAGTGCCCCGTAGGAGCCGAATGGCCTTGGAGAAGCCATTTGACTCCCTGTGCCTCCTGGTTGTGGCCTGCCATGAAGTCCAGTTGAAGGAATCGGAGGTACTCGGTACATGCTGAGACTCTATGTGAACAAAGTCGCTGGAGAAAACTCAATTTCCTTCTAAGAAAAGACTTGGCCAGTGCGGGGTGTCTGAGAAGACGGGGGAAGGGGGTCCGCTGTTCAAGTTTGCTCGTGGATGTGAGATGCTGGGTTCTGAGGGTTGACGTGCTGTGTCTTGCCGCACACAGGGTCCAGACTGGTGATCCCGTGTAAGGTGTTTCTGGGGGCCAGCACGCCCTTAACCACCATGCTGTGGTGGAGAGCCAACGACACCCTCATAGACGGCGCCTACCAGGGAGGCCGCGTGACAGAGGGGCCGCGCCAGTAAGTGGGCCAGCGTTTTCTCTTGGCCTTTGCAGGCTTTACTCTTTCTTTTGCAGTGATTTTTGCAGGCTTTACTCTTTCTTTTGCAGTGATCTTTGCAAGTTCACTCTTTCTTTTGAAGACAATGTCATATCCAACTTATCAATATGACACACAGACCACATTAAAAGTAACTTTTCATTCTAAGCCGTTGGCTTTTAAAGTGTATTAAAAATTGAGTTTTGCCAAAAATTATCTTAAGAATCAAACTTTCTCTGTAACTATGACTTGACCAGTTGGTAGTAATGTTGCATTCGATAGGTTTTTAAACATTTATTTCTTGATTTTTGCAGGATTAAAAAAATATTTTGGAGTTATTATAATAAATTTCCATTCCCTACTCTGCAACCTGACCATTAAACGTTTTTATAAACCCTGAAAAAGACTTTGAGACTTGGCCACAATCTCTGTAGGCACCTCTTCTGTTTCTTAGGGCTGCCACAGGCTCTAAGGAAGGGTAATAGCAAAAGACAGAAAGAATTTAGTTCTCATAAGCAGTCATCTCTAGAAAATGTTTTCTTACTCTGAAACTAGAACAGTCAGACCTTGTAAATGGGAACCATTCAACCTTTCAAATTATAAAGCATTTTTTTTTTAATTACAGTTTTGATACTTGAATTAACCTGAGCTTTTGCTTGCCAAATTTCTGTGTTCTTTGGAAAGACTTGTCAAAAAGGTCTTTCTGGGTATAATTTAGTGGATAAAAATTATGTGTGGTTCGCATAATCGTGTTCTTGCAAGTCCTTGTTGCGAAAGACTTGGCCGTCACTGAATGCCCTATGTCAGCTTACTCATACTAACCATTTACTTAAAGGAGCCTATTTTCCCCTAGTAAATAGAACAAAAATAGACCTAGTGGACCCACTCAATGATGTTTTTATTCATACTCATAGGTAGTAGAGAAGTGACTTTGGCTTCCTCTAAGATTATGCATGGTAGCTATGCCAGCTAGAGTGGCTCCCCTGCCCCTGATCTGGACTTGAGTTTCCAGAGTGAGTCAGCAGTAGGGACGAGGAGAAGGGACACCACTGGGGGATGGAGTCCTGGAAACTCCCTGCCTTTCAATATGTGAACGATTTATTGGTGAGAGAGTCAAGTTTCCCCAAATTAGATGTTCTGTTCCCACTACTGATTCTTTGTTCATTGAAGGTCTTAAAAAACAAACTTTTCCACTATCCAAACCCAACTGGCTCCTGTAAGTTCTTTTTTTTTTTGAAACAGAGTCTTGCTTTGTTGCCCAGGCTAGAGTGAGTGCTGTGGCATCAGCCTAGCTCACAGCAACCTCAAACTCCAGGGCTCAAGCAATCCTGCTGCCTCAGCCTCCCGGGTAGCTGGGACTACAGGCATGCGCCACCATGCCCGGCTAATTTTTTGTGTATATATTAGTTGGCCAATTAATTTCTTTGTATTTATAGTAGAGACGGGGGTCTTGCTCTTGCTCAGGCTGGTTTCGAACTCCTGACCTTGAGTGATCCACCCGCCTTGGCCTCCCAGAGTGCTAGGATTACAGGCGTGAGCCACTGCGCCCGGCCCTCCTGTAAGTTCTCACTGTAACAAGTGTCCTATTGCCGTGACCAATGTCTTCAGCAACACTTCAGTCCTCAGGAACAAACAGGCCTATGGACTGTCCCAAGTAAGTCACGAGTATGGTGGCAAGTGCTCCTAACTTTATGAAACCTGAAATCGATTTAAGCACAATGGATGCTTCTAAATGAGAAAGTTTGGGTGTCTATGTTGTAAAAGACAAGCTTGCATTTGACACATCATATTGACGTGAATGTTTTCTAACTCAGGGAATATTCTGAAAACAATGAGAACTATGTTGAAGTGCCACTGATTTTTGATCCAGTCATAAGAGAGGATTTGAACACGGATTTTAAATGTGTTGTCCATAATAACTGGAGTTCTCAGACACTACGCACCACAGTCAAAGAAGGTATGTATTTGGGGGGAAGCTGAGAGGGAGAAACAATAAGTTGAATATTCCTTAGATACTAGACAGAGCTACTTGTTCTCCACATGATTCCACGGGAAGTCCTTTGTGCTGCTTGTCAGTGGGGTGCTGAAAGAAAATCTCCCATTTTTTAAGATTTTTTTTTTTTTCGGTAGTGTGGAGGGAGGATTTTGGGAGATTATAGTGTAATGAAAAATTAAAGTAGCATGCTGATTATTGGAAAACAGATAAAATGGTTCTACAATCAACTTTTACATGGCCCGTGTTCTCATGAGGTTCCACCTTGGGTCACCAGGAACAGCTGCCCCCGAGTGGCTTCTAGAGGAGGGTGGATCGTTCTTTATCCTGAAGTTGAGAAGCTTCATCCTCCAAAAGCTGGGGCTGGGCGATACCCAGGGTTCAGGACTGCTTTGAGGTCAAAGTCACTGGACAATAGGAAATGAGTACAAGATGACAGCAAAACCAACCTAGAGCCAGTTTAAGGACATTTATAAAAGAAGAAAAGAAAAACCCATGTTGTCATTTTTGACCAAATTGATTTCATCTCGATGTTTAACTGTTGAGCAGAAAGGGAGGCTCAGTTCATGTAGTCTTTATTGACAGCCTGGGGAAATTAAGGCAGGCAAACCACAGCAGTCCCGGCTGGAGTCTCAGCAATGCCTCTGGACAACCTTGCAGCAATCCAATCAACACAAAGTGCTCCACATCGACGTATTTCGCTAGGGAGGCCGCTGCAGACATACTGTCAATTGGAAAGCTGGTGACATGGTCAAGCCTCGGGTCAGGGACTGATACTCAGCACCACTTTTCTCCAGCTGTGCTCTGAGTGATGCCAGCATCACACTCACCTTAGCCACCAGCTAAAAATGCAGATCCCAGGACTCGCCCCAAATCCACCCAGTCAAATTCTCCCAGAGAGGCCAAAGCCTGCAGCTTACAAAGCTCCTTTCATGTCGAAGTTTGAGAACTGGGGCATGTGTGCAGAGGGTGGCGTTTCAGATCATTTCCAGACGTGCAGGCTGGGGGAGAGAGACTGTGGCCGTATACATTTGGAAATAGGGGATCCCACAACAAGCAGAATCCACCCTCTGGGAGTCAGATTAGTGAGCCAAAGGAACCTGTGGTTTGTCTGGTCCTGACGCTGTAAACCTTTAAAATTTTCCAAAGCATGAGCCCTGTCCCTACATGTCCTTTGCTGGGCTGGCCACGACTGACCCCAGGGAACACAGGCTGGAAGCCTTTCGCAGGACTGAGGGGCGTATTCCAGTGGCTGCTCAGAAAATTACAGCTTCACTTATTTCTAATCCTTGTGGATTTTAAGGTGTAAGAATGCTCTGGAGAAATAGGCTGAGAGTGTGTTGATTCTTGGATGGCCAAACAGACCACAGCAAATAACAGCTTAAACACGTAGACTTCTGGCCCCATCAACAACGTGTCTAATAACACTCTGTTCTCAGACTTACTTTTTAACTTTTTATTCATAGTTTCTTCCTTTGTTTCCGTAACACAGAGATACTTAAGGAACAGAATATAGAATGGCTGGATCCAAGCAATAATCTTGGCACCTGAAGCTCCTTTATTCAAAGCTTGTTTTCTTTTCCTTTGCTAATTTATTTAATCCTCATGACAGCCATGCTTATTGGAAAAGGGCAGGTTGTTCCCTGGCCATGTCACAGCTGGTTAATTCAGACGTAAACAGGCAACGTATGAAACGCATATTGTCCTGCTGGTGGAACAAAGTTAGGTCCTTGGCACCTGCCCACTTATGCTGCGATGTTTCTTTCTAACAGATTTGTCCTACCTTGCTTGTGTTTCTAATGCCACAGACGTCATTCTCAAATATCCTTGATCTTGGTGTAAGGGAGGTACTTTCTGGAAATCAATGCACAGTTATCAAGGAAAACAAACTCCAATTCCTTTCTTCTCTGTACACCTGCACGACTGTGTCCTATTTTGCACTGAGAGAATGTTCAACCCCTCACCTTCCTCTGCTCTTCCCACAGCCACCTCCTCGTTCTCCTGGGGGATTGCGCTGGCTCCCCTTTCGCTGGTCTTCTTGGTTTTGGGGGGAATATGGATGCACAGGCGATGCAGACACAGAACTGGAAAAGCATATGGTCTCACCACGCTGAAGACTGGCCTTCAAGACTTCCAATCCCATCCCAAGTAAAATAAACAGAATGAAATAATTCAAACACAAATTAAGTATGTCCTTCCTTATGGAGGTGGCGGCGCCTTTTTGAGAGACCGTTCTTTTCCTCAGTTGTTTAGCAAAGTTGCTGTGTTAAGGTGGCTTTGTAGTAGAGGACTAAAGTTCTGTTTTTTGGTTTTTTTTTTTTCTGAAAATCAGTGTCAGGAGTGAATGTGCCCATGAGTGGGTGTGAGTAGCTCTCTGCTACTTGTGACCTATTTAACAGAACGAAGTGCCCTTAGGTCTGAATAAGATTGGAAAACATTTACCTAAGTTTTGAAATTCGTTCATTCATCCAACAAGAATGAATTAAAAGTCTATTTTGGCCTGACTGTGTGGGAGGTGTTGTGGATACAGAGATGGTGAAGACATAGTTTGCCTTTCAGGAAAATGGAGTGTGATTTAGAAATGGTCAAGTGGAAGAATCAGCAGGGATTGGTGGACTTTTTGGAGAGGGCAATCCAGAAAATAGCAATTAAAGCAGAGTGAGCTGTCAGAGAAATACACATGTTGAAACTTATTAGTGAACTGAGAAATAGCCCCAACTTTGTAACAATACTTCTTAAAACAAAGAGAAGGAAGAGCATTGAGATAATGGTATACAAATTGGAAAAATATCACCAGGGCCGTTTTTGTATCATGCAAAAAAAAAAAAAAGTCCAGATAGATAAATGGCTTACTTAAAGAAATCAAATGGCAGGAAAATCATCACCTATTCAGGTCTCTGGTCAAATGTGACCTTCCTAGAGGACTTTCTCAAATAGCACCTCCTTCCATCCCTCTGTGCCTTCACCCTTTTTGTGTCATCAGAGCTCTAATCACCACCAGACCCTCCATTATATATTTGCTTGTTTATTTTCTGTGTTCCTATCTGAATGGAACATCCATGAGGGCAGAAATATTATTTTCATCCCTGCTGTATCTCCAGTACTGCAGATCAGGCATTGAATAGACATTTATAGAATAGATGAAAAAGTAGGTTGAAATCCCCCTTGTACCAGCAGAAGAATTGCCAGGGTAAATATGGACAGTCTTAATTATGTTATAATTTCAGCACCATAAAATAATAAAAGTAAGATTTAAAGGAAATTGTGTCAAACAAGTTGAAGGAATTAATAACTATAACAAATAGAGTTGTTCAAAGTTTAAGAAAGGCATCTTTTATGGTCAAATAACCTAAGCTGAGTAGCTTGTAAACAACAGAAATTTAATTTTCACTGTTCTAGAGGCTGAGAAGTCCACGATCCAGGTGCTGGCAGATGTGGTGTCCAGTTTGGTTCATAGTTGGCTGCCCTCATGACTTAATCACCTCTGAAGGGCACTGCCTCCTAATACCATTATATTGGGGGTTTGAGTTTCAACATATGAATTTTGGGAAGACATAGCATTTAGTCTATAGCAGCATCATCATGCTAATAGATAGAAGAACATGAGTAGGGAATTTGCAGAAAAGACACACATAAAGGAACACATGGAAAAATGATATTTTCAGTAATAACCAGAGATATAAATTAAAGGAACTTTGAGCTACCAATATATAGTCATGGACTATCCATTGTTAAGAAGTGAGATCAAAGTTGTTACAAAACAGTCACTCTCACACCCTGTAATTCCACTTATAATTTGGTGCTGGAAAGTAAGAAGGCAACATGAACCAAGCCAGTGGGGCACTGGGTTCCCAGCTTGCACATTCTTGCAAGAGCCAAGTGTGTGCATTTCTTCCCAACTGTTTCAGTGGTGTCATGTTGGCAGCTTAAAATCGGCCCCTGTCGGAGTATTTACACCATAGAAATTGGCAGTCTCCAGCAATCTCCTTACAACAAGGTCAGAGAGATGCTCATTGATGCAACTCCTGGAAATTTATCTTAGGAAATAACTCAGTAAAAGAAAATCATTACATATATGAAATAATTTAGTGAAACTTACTACCCTGATGATGAAAAATTATGCATCAATTACCAATTATAATGATCAAAATTGTAAGACTTACATATTTGCAATGCTAAGGGAAAATTGTAAATTGTTTTGTGCAATTTTTATGGTTACAACAGTATTGAAATGTGTTTGCATCTAGACAAGGAGAAAGTTAAAAACAAGGACTTTGAAGACAGATTTTCTGGGTTTAAGTTCAAGCACTGCCACGTGGTGGCTCTGTGATCTTGGGCAAGTCCTTTAATCTCATAGTACATCAAGTTTCTCATCTGAAAAACGGGGATAATAACATTAACTTTTAACTATATTTTATGTTTCCATTTTATTCCATTTTATTCTATTTTCTATTTCAACTATAGTAACTATTTAATAATCAGAAACATAGGAGGAATAGACCAAAATAAAACTGGCTGTATTTAGGCCAAGCATTGACAAGCTACAGCCTGTGGGCTAAGTGCAGTCTGCCTTCTGCTTCCCTAGACAGTTTGTTGCTATGCAGCCCTGTCTGTTTACTGTCCTCAGCTGCTTTTGCTCTTTGAAGACAGAATTGAGTAGTTGAGACAGCAAAGCCCAAAATATTTACTATAGTCTAGTCCTTTACACGAAAGGTTTGCCAACCCGTGGCTTAGATGAAGGAGATCTGGGGCAGTTTTTGACCCTCACTTTTATATTTTCCTATCCTTATCTCTTCTGCTCTTCTTCTCGTGTTTTCTAAGCATCCAAGGAGGGAGAAGAATTAAAAAGGGCAGGCAGAGGCCGGTGAGCTCCTAGTGAGGATTTGCCCTGTGAAAGGAGAGGAGACGAGGTTTGGGATTGCTGGATCAGGTGAGGATGCTGCACATTGCGGCTCTGGGCGCTTCGGCATTTTCTCGGTCTTCAGGCTTGGGAGCCATGCGGCTTCCTTCCTTGGGCTTCTCCCTGGGCTTTGCCAGTGCTCGCTGGAGCTCCCCACCTTCGGATTCTCGCAGCTTCAGCAATGACCCAGAAAAACCGCTGGCTGCAGCCAGATGAGAACTGCCAACGGCTTTTTAGCCTCCACCTTGACTGCACAGGTTATGTATTTCCTGCCCTCTGTCATTTCAGAAGTGTGGGTCACGCTGTACAAGGTGACTGGGGAATTCTGAGTGCTGGATTTATGCTTCTATTCAGGGATAAGCATGATATTGGGATTGCTACATTTTTAAGAAGGAGTCATTATCTTTCTAAGAGACATACTAAATTATTTATGGGTGATACCTGCAATTTGCTTCAAAATTATCCAGTGCTGGGTCAGAGAACATGAAATAAGATCAGTAGTACGTGGATAATTGTTGATGCTGGTGATGGCTGCGCTGGGTGTCCTTGTAGCGTTCTCTCCATTTTTGCGTATGATTGAAAATGTCCATCATAAAGAGTGAAATACAATGTAGAAACCACCCAAATACCCACTAGGCCAGAGAGTGTGGACATAAACTGCAGTGAAATAGCAATAGCGGTGAAATAAGTGGCAAAAGAAACTACTACAATAAATAAACAATATGCAACAATATGGATAAATCTTAGAAGTATATTATTGGATAAATAAGTCCTAGAAACATTTTATAGCATGAAGCCCTTGTATGTAAAATAAAAAACAACCAAAACTAAACATGCCCTCTCTCTTTCCTGTGAGTGTATATGTACATGCACATCTATAGTTAAAATACAATTTTGTCACATATGTGCTCTTAAATATAAATGTGTGCATGCATATGTGTATGTGTGTGTGTGTGTGTGTGTTGACAGTGATTATGTCAGGTGGCAGGTGGGGGACAAGGGTTGGGATAGGTTAGGAAGATGTAAGTTTCATTAAGTTTTAGATCTAACGTTGGGTGGAGGATTATTATTGTCTAATTAATTATCCAGCAAACAGGTTAAGAAACAGGCTATTCAAGGACTGAAGAAGAATACGTGATTTGAACCAAGGATTGTGATTAATCCCGATTCTGTGCACCTGAATCCAAATGACACACATACACAAACAGACAAATGAAACAAGGTAGTTTCTTTTCCTAATTTTGCTGATCTTATCCATCTTATATTGATTTCATTGTTTTAACATTCTGAAGGTGAATTTTTTCTCACCCCACCCTACAAAATCTAGGGGGAAAGGTCTATAAATAGTCTTTGAAAACCTTGTACTTCTATGCACTGCCCATAGGAAAAACACAAGCCTTACATGGTAAAATGCCACTTCCCTAAGAACTTACTGAGGATGACAGGAGAGAGCAATAATAGTCACCAAAAATAATCGAGGCGCTAAAAAATAAATGTGATGTAAGAAGTATTTTAAATGCTTATGGGAATACCTAGGGGCTCTTCTAAAGCGAGGATGGGACGGACACTTCCTGTAAGTTAGTTCCTAGGGCAGGAGCATTCTTGCTGGCTGATGTATTCCTAGCACCTAGTGCAGCAGACAACAGCATTTAGATGTCTGCTGAATGCATAGATAAAGCGTGTGTTTCTTGGGTTTTCCCAGCCCTGGTCAGCAAGTGGATGCCATCAGTGGAACCCAGCTGTTTCCCTGCTCCAGCCTCTGCTCTCAAACTCTCCTTGGTGTTGGCCATGACCTCCTGCCCATAGCTCCCTTGGACAAACAGAAGCACCTCGTGTTTTTGTGGTTGTTTTCCTGCTCTTGTGGTCCTCACTCACTGGCTTCTGTGGTCCATGCAGGGCTACTCATTACTGCCGTTGTGCTTCAACAAATCACTGTCACTCCACAGAGGGCACTGCCCCGGGCTGTGCAGAGGACAAGCCATCTAGCTGCCACCCTGGGCTGCAGCCTCTGCCAGCTTTGGTGCCTGGAGCCTTCCTGTGCATTCCCAAAAGCTCTCCCTTCTGTGGTCCCTGTGGCCAGCCAGACCCCAAAGCAGTGGTGGAGGACATAACCCCTCCCCCTCAGGGCTCCAGCACTAGTGTGTTCTCCCCCTCTCTGGCACGCTTGCAAAACCCACTTCCTCATTCTTCTTCAGGCAAAGCAGAGCAAAACAAAGCCTCCTGCAGAGAAACTCCCAGAACCTGCTGCCCACTGGCTCTTCAGAAACGGACCAGCCTGCAGTGACAAGCCCACTGGGGCCAGCAGCTATTCAGCCACTGCCAGGACCAGGGTGGGGAGAAAGCTCGAGATGAAGAAGAGTGGGAGAAATAAAAGCAAGGACAAAGGAGGGGAAGCCAACAATCTTAAGCGAGGTTTTACATATTTTGCTCGAGTGAATCCTCAAAGAGCATTTACCAGGCAAGTATTGTAACTCACATTCTAGAGTTAAGGAAACTGAGGCTTGCCTAGTTTAAAGATTACACCCAAAGAGTGTGGCTTAGATGTGCAGCAACACATCCTAATACCAAACCCCAGGATGCGACACAGCTGGAGAACAGCTGGTGCCAAGTGGGGGCTGGTCTGTGTCAAGGCTAAAGCCAGGAACAAAGCAAATATTTGCTTTCCTAGTGGTAGCGTGGCTGCCACGAAGAAGGAAGAAGAGCTTCACCCAGTCCGCCCCGTTTCTCCCCCGAATCCACCAGAAGACACACCTGGGACCGGTGGGGGACCAGAGCGAGTCTGACAAGGACCCCTCCAGAGGGAAGGAAGCTTCAGAAATGGGACCCACGTGTCTCTGTCCTCTGCAGTATTTTCCAGTTTTTATTCTGCCAGCCGGTGGGACACCGCAGCCTGCCTGTGGCCTGTCCCGCACTGTTATCTGCAGGGGTGACGGCGAGCAGCCGGGCAGAGTGTCCCACCGCCCTCTCTGAGGCTGCTGTCCCTGTAGGTGCGGCTGCGCTTTCCCGGGCCTTTCTGGGCCTTTTGGGGTTGGGTGGCCATGTGGATTTAGCTCTCAGAAAGCACAGAAATGGTGAAGAACAGTCTGTGACTTAAATTTGCTTCAAAACCATGCTATGTCCAAGGCTGACAACTCACTTGCTGTATTTTATTATTTGCCAATAATAAAAGGTAGGCTTTATCATTCAGGTGTGGTGAGGCCAACAGGTGAGGAGACAACAGCCATTGAAAAGATGGAATTATACCCACAGATCCCAATGGGAGGGGCCACGCCACACCCCAGGGGCTGGGAGGGCACCCGGGTAGCAGCAGGGAAGCCAGAGGCAGAGGGGGTAAGGGCAAGATGTGGGCAAGAGCCTTGGTGGTGGTTTCTGTGGGGAGGAATGAACGAGGAATGAATAATTTCCGTGGGCTCCGGGGTGTAGGGCAGGTGGCTGGTGACCTCAAGTGTGAGCCCTCCATGAAGCAGGTGGCTCTGGATTGGCTGGTTTGCATTTGGAAAGTACGCTCAAGGGGCAGGTGAGTCCTTTCCTGTCTCTAGGAATTGGCTACACCTGGGAGGGACAGTCCCTCCAAGGTCAGCAAGGCTTCAGGTGTGAGAGGGTCAGAAGCACACGGCTAATACAATTCCATCCAGCTCTGTCTACCACAGCTCACCAGAAGTTCTGCAGACAATTAAATGACCAAAACTAAAGAGCCAACAAAATAAAATGCTCCCAGTTTTATTTTATTTTTCTGTTGCAAGAATATCAAATGTCCTTTATGAAGCACAGTAGAGCAACCACCATAAAACCTTGCAACCATTAGCAAAAGAAGTGAGCGTTGCATGGAAATATAGCCGTGGGAATCCCCAAAAAGGAAGTGTACCAAACCTCAACAATTTTGAAATTAGAGTCTGCTTTTATCCGTCACAGTTCCTTCTTGCTCAGTCCCAGCAAGAAGGCTGCTCTGTCCAGACAGGTGACTGTCTTTTGCCTTATGCAGAGAAGGGGGTGGCTCCCGAGGCTTTGGACATCGACACGGCCTCTCGCACGTCCCTTTTAAAAGTGTCCTGCATTAGCACAGCCCTGATCGCCTGCACTGAGTTTTAAAAGAAGCCATTCCCTGGCCCCTGGAACTGATTTCCCAGGCAAATGTGGCTTCCAGAACCTGTATTGAGTGTTGACAGTGAGCACAACAGAGCCTGGGGGTATCTGAAGAAGGGGGGATGACGCCAGCGGAGCTGCTGGCGTTCTGCCTGTGGACGTCAGTCCAGCAGCACCAGGGTCCATCTGCTGACTGGAGATCAGGATGGCCCAGTATCCCACGGTCCCCAGCCCTCCACGTGACTCTCACCCACGCTTGAAGCCAGAGCACCGCTGCCTTCTGTGGTTAGTCGAGACTCCATGACCTGGGAATGTAGCTCTCTTTGGCCAGTTATTCCAGCAGGAATTTGATAGCATGACCTTTATCACATCTGGAGGAAATTCCACCTGTGCATCTTGTCACAGCATTTGGGACCCTGGACTTCCTTGAATAATGTGTACATCTTCAGGGGTAGCTGCCAAGTCTGCCAGGCTCCAGGCCTTTTGGGGAGCCTTTCTCCCCATATCCAGCATACTCAGAACTTCTCACCATGCTTCCTCCCTGCACCCATCCCTTCCTTCCAGCTCACAACTTGGCCTCTGCCTGGTGACAGAGCTTCTCCACTTAGCTGTCAGCAGGCGGACAGGGACCACAGCCTCCTGCTATTGAACTTTCTAGGCCTCTGCACCCTTTGCAAGGGAAAAGGCCCTTCGCTAGCCTCACTCCAGCTGCAAAACCACCCTCAGCAGATCACCCACACTGCCTGTGCCTCTGGGTCCCGGTGGGGACAGCTGTCTCACCATATGCTCTTTAGTACACATTTTTTCCCCTAGCTTTTGAATGTTCAAGATGCTGTGTAGTGTTTCTCCTGCATATGTATTTTTTTAAAGTGGGGGGATATGCCTCGAGTGAATGCGTGACAGCGATCAGGATGTTCTCAGCCTCGGCTGCAGACTGGGGCCTTCCAGGGAGGTGGCTCTCCGGACCCTGCCCCAGGGGTTCTGCTGTATTTGTCTGGGCTCCGGAGTCTCCGCAGCTCTGCAGGGGATTCCAATGAGCTGCATGGGCTGAACCGCTGGTCTAACTTCTAATTTCTAGCGCCTATGGGTTGGCATTCAGGGCCCTTGGCTTTCTGTACCAGAAATTCATTCATTCCTTCATTCATTGATTGATGTATCCTAGCACACTGCTCTAGATCTTGTCTCATGTGGGTCTTCCATGTGGGAGCTGTAAAAATCAGTGGGCCTGCTGGAAGCACCCTGTCCACCTTCCCACTCCTTGGAATTGGGTAATCCCATTATACTGCTATCAGTTCAACAGCTCCCCCAGGCTAGACGCTGTACCATTGTCCTGGTAGTTCTCTTTTTCTGTGCTTCCTCTTTGCTGTACCTTCCTTCATTATTGTCCTACTTACATACAGTTTTCAGCCAAGTTCCTTCAATAAATGACTCTTGCAACCCCATCTAACAAAAACTGTGTCAATCAAAACTCACCTAATAACTCTCAGCATTCTGAGCACATGTTAAGTTTCCTAGTTTGTGGACAAGCCACATAAATTTAAGATGCGTCCCTCTCTAAATATAGCTCTCCTTGGAGAGCTCTCTGAAAGGAGACAGAATCTTGGGCAGGTGACCTGGCTTTGACAACTCAGGGCCAGGACTTATAATGCAGCACAGGAACTTGGTGACCTTATAGTTTAATTGCAGCATTATTGTGTTAAGAAGGTTTAATCCTGTTTCATCCAGCTTTGCCTGGAATCACACCATGCCCATCTGTGGCTAAGGTAGTTCCAGGTCAGCTGCAGTAGTCTGAGTCCAAAAGCCCATGTTTTGGCCTTCATCACCCCATGGCCTGGCTCCCTGCTTAAGCTCTATCCTATTTCAAACAGCCTTGAGATAAAACCATATGCTTATCCACAAACAACCAACCATGAGCTGCAGTGGCTGCCAAGGGAAGGTTCCAGGGGGCAGAGCATGACACAGACTGCAAACTGTCTGCCATCCAGTGTGAAACAGCCCCACAGCCACATGGTCCTGTGTAGACTGCCACAAGTCACCAAGGAAAAGGTCACTAGAGCCACCCTGGCTTGGAGCCACACCACAGGCCACATCAGATTTTTTCATCACTCCATGTGTATTTCTCCCACAAATTCCACTCCTTATCATTCCCATTTTTCCCAGTCGAGTTCTGAACAATTCAGAGAAAGGACAAAAGAGTAGGTAGAAGGGTTGCGGAGTGTTTCCTGTATCACCGCAAGCTGACATTGGAGGGTGTGCTGTAGGCGTGTGGCAAAGAGCTTCTTGACCATGAACACCAGAGCTGGGCACACTCCCACACCCAGTTCCAGGACATGTGGGGCCCTGCAGCCTCCCCACCTGGGCTCTGGCTCTGGAGACTTCAGGAAATGGAGAAGCCCAGCAGCTGCTCAGTTCCTGCCCATGGCTTGGTCCACAAGGAACAGAGCAGGAGCCTGGGACTGAGCCATGCATACTTGGCTCCTTTCTGAAAATCACAGTGAGGTCCTGAATGCCACCTCCCTCGAGGGTCCAGAGTGTCCACATGGAAGGAAACATCAGTAGCGGGAACTGGGTGTTACCACCTAAAAAACCAAATAATTCTTGGTTATTTCTAGCAAATGTACTGCAACTTTTATTGTTGTTTCTGTTCAGTTCTTTAGACGGTAGTTGGACTGTGGTCACAGTTTGAGTACTCCTGGGTTATCTCCTTGGAGGCCAGGCCCTAAAGGGGAGGACCAGAGTCTTATGAAGGCTGCTGTCCAAGCCCTCATTTTCTCAGTGATGTGGCCCAACCTATGGCTACTACAGGACATTTTTCCTAGAATACAATAGTCCAGTAGTTGTTCAAAAAACATTCCAAAAGTAGGAGGTCCTTCTAGCCTGGTGCACAGTAGGTGATCAAATAATGCTTGTTGCATGCATGTGTGCAAGTGTGAATGCACCAGAGGGAAAGGGTGAGGGGAGAGCTTGCCCATGCACCACTGGCTTTCCTGCAACTGGCTTTTCCTGTGCTATTTCCCCCTCTTCAAACACTATTCCCACTTTAGGACTGTTCAAATGCTTCCTCCACTATAAAGTCTTTCCCAAATCCTGGAATAATCTCTCCAAGTCCTGAATTCTCCAAGTAGCTTATCCGGACCTTTAGTATAGCATTTAGTGCTTTCCACTTTCTATGATGTTAATCACATTTTCCACTTTTCTTCCCTACCATACTGTGAGAAACTTGAGGGCAGGTTCAAGGTTTGACTGGTCTTTCTCTCTCCAAAGCATCCTGTAAGATATTGTAGGGCAAAAAACAAAGGCTCTGAGATAGAAAACTCATAACTCTGAATGGGCCATTAAAAGGTGATATGGCACAGGAGAAAGGTTGTGAAGAGAGAATAAACCTCCTCTGCCACTCACCTTCCATCAAAGGGAAGTTGCCAGGACCACAGCTCTACGGCGATGCAAGGGACCAGCCGAACCAATCAGATTCTTGCCTGGGAGTCTGAACACTCTACAGGGAGCCAGTAGCTAGGGGGAGCCAGAGTGCAGAGCCTGAAACCAAGGAGTGTGGGTAAGAAGCATTTCTCAGGGTTGCACACTAATGCAGCTCTCACATGTGCCAGTTTGACTGTTTTCTTAGGCTGCAGTTCCAGTTCAGGTTATGGCTAGCCCAGATTCACAGTTTCCTTGGCCTAGGAAATGACGATATCCTCATGGGTCCCCTGCCTCCAGCTTCCCACAACCAAACCAAGTGCTCTTTCTAAAGCCCAAACCTGACTGCATCACTCCACTGCTTCTAATTTTTTAATGGCTGCCTACTGCTTGCATGTCAGAGCACAAACTCCTTATTTAAGACATAGAGGCCTTTTCCAGTTTGCTTATTTACCTCCTTCAAGCTGTCTACTCAAAGCTTTGTGAGGGCAGGGGTTTGTATCTGTTATGCTCACTGTGTATTTGCACCTTTGAGAAGAGAGTGCTGGGCACATGGTAGATGCTCAGCAAGTATTTATTTAAGGAGTGGATGAATGCTTAGCTGTCTGGCTTTATCTCCTACCATCCCTCCATCTCTGTCCCCACTCAGTGCTGGCCATACAGAACCTCGTGCATCTCCTCTCTAGTCTCCATTCTCTCTTGTGTCAGGGCATGTTCTGTTTCCTGTCTCTGGAAAACTCTTTCCCATCCTGTCCAATTGGCTGAGTCCTCCTTTCTGTTCAAGTCTTCCCTGGGAAGCATTTCCCAAACCCCTAAACTGGCAGAGAGGCCCCTCTTACAGGATCCCAGAGCACCAGATGGTCACCACAGTTGGAACGGTTGTCATTGATTGAGTCATTAGGCCAGGCTTTTTCTAAGTAGTTTTTCAGACATTATCTCATTCCTTTACCCAAACCCGTGAAACAACCAATAATAATACCTCTAGTTTACATATGGGGAAACTGAGGCTTGGAAGGCTTAAATAACTTGCCCTAGTTACCAAGCTAGTAAGGGGTAGAAACAGGATTTGAGACCTTATACCCAGCTCCAGACGCCATATTCATAACTCCTGCACTTGTTCTGCTGAGGGCTGAAACCACCATGTCCTTGTCTGTCTTTACTAATGGAATGTGGGTTCCTTGAGGGTAGGGGCTTTCTCTTATACACTTTGGTCTTTGTTCCTAATGACTTATGCCTAGCACAAGCACTCAGTGGATTCTTGGTGAATGGAGACAAGCAAGGCAGAGTCCCTGTCCCCTACCTCCAGGACCATCCAGGAGGCTCACCACTGATTCGTGGAGTGTCCGTATCACTGTGGGGAATGGAAAGTGGACCCTTGTCAATGTTCTTTGGAAAGCAGAGGCCTACAGATTTCCCAATGTCAAAGACATGTCACACGAATGGATGAATGAAATATGGGGGTAGGTGATATCCATGGTTGGGGGATGCTCTGAGAGCTAACAGGGAGGTTTTTCCCAGTAATCAAAAGACAAGATTCGAGTCATGTTCCAGAAATCACTCCTCCCTGCTCAGAAATCAGAGTCTTTTTTCTCTTTAAGATTGAATGCTGCTGCCAGCCTCTGTCGGCCGCACCTGCAGCTGTGAGGTCCTTTATTTCACTGGAAAAGACCCCTCAAAACCTCCCCTTTTGTTTCAGAGGCAACAGATTGCCAGTAAAGTAGGGACCCCCGGAGAGCCTGGTGTGGGCAAGGAGGATTAACTTTTCCGAGTCACTGCTGGCTCGGTTCGAGGTGTTTTCTGCTCTCTGGATTCAGGGCTTCCTGTTTAAACGTCTGGAAGAAGATCACAGTTGGGCACAGAGTACTTGCTGAACTCTGATGAAAGTCTATGATTAAATTATTTCAAACTTTAATAAAAATGTTTTTTAGAATAAAATCCTTTGGTGATTATGTCAAGTGCTGAGTGTACTTTTTTCGGTAAGCACTTGAACCTGCCGTGCCTGTCTGCGCCAGCTTTTCCTCGGCAGTGGCCGTCCTGGAGAATTCTGGGGTCTTGTCCTCAAAGTCAAGAGGCTATTGATCTCAGACACCCCCTGGAGATAAAGGATCCTGATAAGATTTCTCGTGGGCTGGCCCACGCTTTTAGTTTTTCTGTATATATATTTATATTATCCTCCCTTCTTCACGTAACTTTTAAAATAAAAATTTCCTTGTAACACGCTTGGAATGACAATCTTTCAAGAGAGAAAACTTATGAAGGGGTTGCCCTCAGTTTCCCTTTCTCCGTCCCACCTCTCCCCCAAGTTCAGAGCACCTGGTGGCAGAGGGGGGCTGAACTGGGGGGAACGTGAGTTTCTTGACCTCCCCGTGCCAACTGGCAACGCTGACACTAATAGTTCTGAAGTCACGATTTTTTTCTAATAGCCCAAAGTAGATTCTCCATCTCTTCCTGCTTAGAGGCAGATTACTTAAAAAAAAAAAAAATCTATTACAAATCCACCTAGCATGAGTGAGATGCTGTGCTTGGCGAGGGCTCGGGAGAAATGCACTGATGGGCTGTGTCACATTTCCTTGCTTTCCAGGAGCTCGTGGAACAGAGCAGGTGTGACAGGTTCCTAGGTTGTAATGCTTTCCACAGTCGCGCCAGCTTACTGACACGCTGACTCACGGGGCCACACAATGGCAACTAAATGACATCTGGATCGCTTAGGGATGTGTTTGGCCGCAAGCAGCAGAAAAACCAATGGAGAGTCATTTAAACAAAAATTGGTGCTGATTTCTCTCACCTCACCAGAAATCTTGAGCTTCAGCAGCTTGATGATGTCCTGGCCAGTGCAATTTTAGCCTTTCAATTTTGGCCTTTGCTTCATGGTCACAAGGTGACTGTTGTAGTGCCAGACATAGTATCTACATTCCAGGCAGGCAACAGGGGAAGGAAAACACCAGCTGTGTCTTTACCTGTGCCCAGAAGCCCTTCCCAGAGCTCCTGCAGGCTTCTGCTCACACCTCATTGATCAGAACTGCCATGTGGGCTTCTGTAGCCCCAGGGGAGTCTAGGGAAGCCACGCCCCAGTCTTACGCCCCCTCAATTTTCTACCTTACACAAGCACAGTCTTTTCAGAAGTCTTTCTCTTTTCATCTGTCAAAGCCCCAGTTTCCCAGGGACCTAGCAAAATGTTTCTGTGGGCTGGACTGGAAGACAGTGCCACGTGAGCCTTCAGATGTGTCCCTCTGCTCTCACCCTATGACAGGCGTCCTTGGCCTGGCTCCCAGGCCTGCCTTTCGCTTTCTTGGGGCAACTTCTTTCTTCAATGGGAACATTGTTGTGAAGGTTAAGGGACAGCCAGGGCTCCTTGATTTGGGGAGAGGTGGATCTGGGGTAATGCCAGATGTCAGCCCTACATGTAGTGCAACAAGCCCAGGGAGCCCAGTTAGAGGAGACCCAGGCAGGGTCAGCACGGACACGCCTGAGTTCCTGTGAGCACAAAGCTTATGCCTTTATGCTGGGAAAAAAAAGAAAAAAAGAAAAAAAGAAAGAAAGAAAGAAAGAAAATGAAAGAGAGAAAAGAATGAAAGAGAGAAAGGGAGGAGAGGAAGGGAGGGAAAGAGGGAAAGAGGGAGAGAGAAAGGAAGAAAGCAAGCAAGAAAGAGAAAAAAACAAACAAATAAGCAAAAACACCTGAACTATAGAAAAAAACGTGGTAAATGCAAGTCACCACAATATGCTATGTAAACACAGAAGGGAAGAAATTATTATTATTATTATTATTTGAGACAGAGTCTCGTTTTGTTGCCCAGGCTAGAGTGAGTGCCATGGCGTCAGCCTAGCTCACAGCAACCCCAAACTCCTGGGCTCAAGCAATCCTGGTGCTTCAGCCTCTCGAGTAGCTGGGACTACAGGCATGCACCACCATGCCCGGCTAGTTTTTTCTATATATATGTTAGTTGTCCAATTAATTTCTTTCTGTTTATAGTAGAGACGGGGTCTCACTCTTTGTCAGGCTGGTTTCAAACTCCTGACCTCGAGCAATCTGCCCGCCTCGGCCTCCCAGAGTGCTAGGATTACGGGCGTGAGCCACCGCACCCGGCCCGGGAAGAAATAAATTATTTCCAGGGTAGAAACGTGTGTTGGTTGGTGGGAGGTGAGTAGGAAGGAGGAGGGGCCAGTGCATGCATCACAGATGGCAGAACATCTTGTGCATTCATTCATTAATTCACTCATTCGGCAAATACTAATTTCTCCTTCCTTAGCTAGGAAAAACAGAGATTTCCCCTGCCCTGTGGGAGCTTGGGTCTCATGAAGAAGATAGACAAAAATAATGTAATGACCCTGATAAAATGTAAAATCGTGGGGAGCGTGAGGAAGGAGAGACAGCTGTGGTGCTATGAGTCAGTATAATCAGAGGATTCCACCCACCCATGGAGGGCAGAGAAGGATGTGTCAGGGTGTGTGAGATTTCCACACGAGGAGGGAGGGGAAGGCATCCAACAGGAGGAACAGGCTGAGCATCGAGCAGGGCTGGGAAGGGCTGCCCAGGTCTGGGGAGAGGTGAGTGGTCTGGATGCTTGAAAAGGGAAGAGAACACATGAGAGGTAACCGTGTGCCAGGCTCCATGCGAGACAATTTTCATGTTCTGAACTTATGTCATGCTTAGAACAATCCTATAAGGTAAGAATTCCCTTGGCGTTGGTTCCTCTGAATGTAGATCTTAAGATGAAGACTTTGATGTAGCTAGAGAGCAAACATCATGTAGCAAACTCCCCCAGCTTGCCGGGGAGTTGATTCCAGGGAGCAGGAGCGAGGGCGCCTGGAGACTGGGTCGGGAATTAAGGAAACATCTCGCGCAGGGTGATGCATGGAGGTCACCTACTGTGGCCAGTGAAACTCTCATCTACCAGGATCCCCTGAGAAGTACACAGAAGTTCTCCCACAAATTTTGCTTGAAGGAAATGGACACAGATCAAGAGTGAGGGGCCCCTGAGACACCTGCTACTTGTGCTATATTAATTTTAAAACTGAAGATCAGAAAATTTCAGTCCCTTGCCCAAATTTATACAACCGGTAAATGACAGTGCCGGGATTTGAACCGAGGTGGGTTGTGACTGCAAAGCTCATACTCTTACCCACATACTTTGCTGTCCTTTTCACTGTATATTAAAACATAAATTATAAAGACTGTAATGAATTCTAATGGATATTAATATCAATGTTGATGATGACTGTTAGATATTTTTCTAACAGCCATTAATCCTTCCTGCCCTAAAGGTGATGCTAAATCTCTGACTCTGCTACAGCACCTGAATAAGAGGTATCTCAACACCAGGGGCAGTGAAGAGATGATCTTGTGTAATCTGTGGAGCAAACTAAGTGGCCCTGTGAGTATTTAATCCAAGCCTACAACTGGGAAAGGCATAACAATAGGGTCTGTGGGAGATGAAAGATGCTCATGAATTCTTTGCTACTCCTTCCATCAAAAGTGGAGTCTAAATGCCTTTCCCCTATATCTGGGCTGGTCTTAGTGACTTGCTCCACCAATAGAATGAGGCAGAAGTGACTTTCTGGGACTTCCAAGGTTTGCCCATAGAAATTCCTGCAGCCTGCAACTGGGACCCTTGAATGAAACACTTGCAGTTGGAGTCCTCAGGGCCACTGAAAATATCCAGATACTCTGAGGCTGCCGTGCTGGAGTGGCCCCAGGTCAGTGCTCCAGTGGAAGTTCGAGCCCCTCATTCCAGATGTATGAGAGCCTCCAGACCAGATCACCTTCCAGCTGAGTACCACTAAGTAACCTCTGTTGATGCCAGATGGAACAGATGAATCACTCAGCTGAGCCTTGCCCAAATTCCTGATCTACAAAATTGTGAGCTACAACAGCATACTTGTCATGTTAGTCCTCTAAGTTCTGGGGTAGTTACCCAGCAATAGATAACTGGACCAGGGCTGTCTATTTCCTCTCATCACTGCAGTAGTACCCTTCTTGGCAGGCTGTGTGGCATCTTTAAATTGAGGCCAAAAATGTTAAGTTGAAATTCAGCTGCTTGGACTAAGTTCTTACACAGACACAGTAATCACTGGGAAGTTTGGAAATCTCTTTCTTTCTCTCTGCCTGTTAATCGTGTCTAGAATTTTGAATCAAACATCTGAAGAAGCTTCCCTAGAGGGTAAAAGCATCCTCCATCCTTATAACTGAATTTTAAGACCCAAGTCATAAGAGTCCATCTCTAGACATAAGCATACAAAGCAGTAGAAACTGTACCTCTTGTGAGGTGCTTTCTATGGGGGTTGGTGAGTAAAGCAATGATTACTTTGTTGCCGTGTTTTCTGAGAGAAAATGAAGCATAAAGCTGAACAAAGACTTGGGGGAGTGTCCACAGTTAAAGAGGCAGGGAGGCAGAGGAGACCCAGTTGGGTGCTTAGAAGGTGAGCGGATGGTTTGCAGAACTTGCATCAAGGTTGGAGGAAGGTTTCCAACAGAAAGCAGTGGCATCTCTTGTCACAAAGACATCCAAGACTGACAGTTCAGATAAGGTCACAGCTTCCTCACTTTGCAGGCACCCTCATTATAGTTCCCTTTGACCACTACTTTGGGTAGGTATATCTGTATTGTTGAGAAAAAAAGACATTTTCTGTTACCAGTTGTGTAACTAAGTGAGGCATCTCACCTCCTTGGGGACAAAGGCTTGATGTGGTTTTATTGTTTCTTTTTTTTATTTTTTATTTTATTCCAGCATATTACTAGGGTACAAATGTTTAGGTTACATATATTGTCTTTGCCCGGCCGAAGTCAGAGCTTCAAGTGTGTCCATCCCCCAGACAGTGTGCACTGCACCCATTAGGTTCATATAGACATGGTTTTATTTTTCCAATAATTATCTCCTGACAAGCCCCTTACATACTGGGTGGGGATCTCCCTAACAACTCTTTGGTCTGTTTTCATAACTTTTCAATAATAGTGGGTGATTGGAATAGTCTAATTCTGATTTTTTTTTGGTCCCCCAATTTTTTTTATTGCAGGATATTATGGGGTACAAACATTTTCGTTACATGTTATGACTTTGGCACACCCAAACCATGATTCGAGGTGTGCCCTTCCCCCCTACAATGCTCAATGCATTACTTATGAGTTTACCCACCCCCAACACCCACACCCCAAAGAATATTACTACCATGTAAGAACATTAGTATTGATCAATCATGCCAACTTGATGGCGAGTACATGTGGTGCCTATTCTTCCGATCTTGTGATACCTCACTTCAGAGGATGGGCTCAAGCTCTATCCAGGAAAATATAAGAGGTGCTAGATCGCCATCATTTTTTATAATTGAGTAGTATTCCATTATATACATATACCATAGTTTATTAATCCACTCATGGATTGACGGGCACTTGGGTTGTTTCCACATCCTTGCAAGAGTGAATTGTGCTGACATAAACATTCAACTACAGATGTCTTTACTACAAAATCATTTTAAAGACTTAATCTTGTTTGTTTTGAAGTTTTAACCTTATGATCTATTTCTTCCTTTTCACTCACTGTCGTGTGCCTGTGTATAGGGAGATGGGCCACTTCAGACCCCGCCAGCTCACCCCTCTGGGGCGGTCAGTCCTGCGGGACGGAAGGGGAAGCCCTCAGTGACCTTGAGGGTGGCTGCCTCTGTCCAGGCTGCTGTCCTCTTCCTCCTGGCCAGCGCTGCTTCTCTGTGTCACCCTGCCTGGCTGTGGGCCATCGGGGGCTTCCGCCAAGTGCTGGCTGTCTGCAGCGGGAGAGGGAGGGCATGGTGCACTCTCAAGGGTCCTGGGAGGGTGGGCTCACTGGGTCCCTGGACTTTGCGATAATGTTAATACTCCCATCACCTTGATGTTTTCTGGCTGAAGCATCCTCACCATTTCAGACTACCTCTCCCCAGCAGCCCTCCTATAAAGAGAAAAATACGGCTTCTCCTGGGTCTCACTACATAGCAGCCACGCGGAGAAGTCCGTTCTCAAATGTCGCCTAATCGAACCCTCTTGACCCTGGAGGAAACAGGCTGAGACAGCAAAGCGCTGCCCAGAGCCACACCCAGGGCCAGTGGCCTTGGCACTCTGCCTTCTAATCTAATGTTTATCCCCTTATAAAGCAGGCATCTCCACCCCAGTCTTTGCGCTGCTGAGAACTTCCTTCAGCCTAATTATGTGTTTTTTTTCCCCCTTAGTTGTGGTAACCCAAAGTTCATGCAGTTTTCCAATTCTGGCTGAAGCTGGGTTTTGAGTAAACACAGGATGGGGTTTGTTTCTGACAGCAGCCGGCTGTGCGGACCGTTGACTGGGGTAGGGCGGTGGCGGGGTGGCAGGAAACGGTCACAGTGACTCCTGGGTTTCTTTTCAGGGCTGTAATGGATAGACTGGGACTTTATCTTGCAAAAATAGTATAGGTGACTTTTCTGGAAGTCATTTTAAGGGAAAACTATAATCACAGCAATACTTGTAGAGAAACACAGCTATCGTTGCCTGCCCACTATTCATTACTTTGTCGGATCTTTTTAAAGTTCATCAGCGTGCCATCTCATTATC